CCTCCTGGTGTTCTCTCCTCCTCCTCCTCCTCCTCCTCCTCCTCCTCCTCCTCCTCCTCCTCCTCCTCCTCCTCCTCCTCCTCCTCCTGGTGGTCCTCGTTCTCCTCCTCCTGGTGCTCTCCCCCCCCCTCCTCCTCGTCCTCCTCCTCCTCCTCGTCCTCCTCCTCCTCCTCTTCCTCCTCCTCCTCCTCCTCCTCCTCCTCCTCCTCCTCCTGGTAGTCCTCCCCCTCCCCTCCTCCTCCTCCTCCTCCTCCTCTTCCTGGTCGTCCTCCTCCTCCTGGTCGTCCTCCTCCTCCTGCTCGTCCTCCTCCTCCTCCTGCTCGTCCTTCTTCTCCTGCTCCTCCTGCTCCTCGTCCTGCTCCTGCTCGTCCTCGTCCTCCTGGTCTTGCTCGTCCTCCTCCTCGTCGTGCTCTTGCCCCTGCTGAAAATGTGGCCCAGGAATGGGAGTTCTGGGAAGTCGAAGAGCACGAAGTTGCCTACAGTTGGCTACGGGCATTCAAAATGTGGCCCGGGAATGGAGTTCTGGGAACTCGAAGAGCACGAAGTGGCCTACAGTTGGCTCCGGGCATTCAAAATGTGGCCCGGGAATGGAGTTCTGGGAACTCGAAGAGCACGAAGTGGCCTACAGTTGGCTCCGGGCATTCAAAATGTGGCCCGGGAATGGAGTTCTGGGAACTCGAAGAGCACGAAGTGGCCTACAGTTGGCTCCGGGCATTCAAAATGTGGCCCGGGAATGGAGTTCTGGGAAGTCGAAGAGCACGAAGTGGCCTACAGTTGGCTCCGGGCATTCAGAATGTGGCCCGGGAATGGAGTTCTGGGAGGTCGAAGAGCACGAAGTGTGTGACTGTTGGCTTAAAACGACTTCTGCGGCACCCTGTCCGGCACCCGCCCAGACCCCCTTGTGGAGTCATCTGCTGCTCCCTTTTGACACCACTAGAAACCTATCAGAACAAGCTGTTAGGTAATCTTGGGATTCACATTGGAACATTAAGAATAATCGAGACTCTGGCCGAAAACGTAAGTTTTCTTCAGCGTCGCCCAGGGTGTAGGAGGCTCGGAACTGACCACTGAGCACCAGCACAGAGAGGTGCCTCCACCGAGGGGAAGCGGTCTTAGAAGTTCCGGTGCTGGTGGTAATCGCTCGGCCACCTGAGGCCGGAAACCAGCAGAAGAAGAGAAAACGTCCTAAACATCAACATTTGGCGTTCCGCGCGGATCACTTGGATCTGCGCTGGGCCCCCTCCATGGCGCGCGGAGCGCGCCAGTGGCGGCGCCAGAGGCGCCGCCGGGGCGGGCCCTGCGCGGATCCAAGAGATCTGCGCGGAGCGCCAAGATCGGGGATGGACAGACCTCCCTTTAGTAAACCTCCCCTTAGTGAAAACAGCCTAAGACCGAAACCGACGGACCTGGACCCGCAAAAATGACGGCCGCGACGCCTTCTCGCGAACCGATTCCTCAGTCGACGTGTCAGGGTAGGAGGTCTGTCCACCTCTGACAAGAGTGTCTGTTTATGCCGTTCTTCCTTTATCGAGGAGCACCACCATAGTCACCGAGACCGGGATCCTCTTCCGCCGGTTGAGGCACCCCGCCGATGCTGGTGCTGGTGCTAAGCCCAAGGCTCAAGTCGGGCCTGTCCTCCTACAGGGATATATTGGACGAAAGATTAAAGACAATCCAAACATACCCCGGACATGATCAAAACATATGCAACAAATTTCGTCCTGGGACTATTTTTGACTACTTTTGAATCTTCCTCTCGGCTACACGCAGGAGTGACCCTGGGCCCTGCGTAAGAGTGACCTTTGGTGCGCGGCTTTTGGGGGGCCGCGGGGGGACCACACACAGGCGCGCAAGGCGCTGCTATCGCACCGCATCCGGCGATCGGCGGACCCCGGTGTGCCCGCACCCAGGCCACTCAGGCGCAGGGTCACTCTCGGGTCGGGCGAAAGGGGGGGATAGCACAGGGGGGGGTTGAGAATCAGCTCGCGTAGCTGACTTTCCCGGCGCCGGAGGCGGCCATGTATCGAGAAATGGGCCCCTCGGTGAGGCCGAAGCCAGCTGCATGCAGCAGAGTTCGCATCCCCCCTTTCCCCATCCCCCCCCTTCGTCCGGCCCGACACTCGTCGATCCTCCTGTGGAGGGACAGGCCCGACTGAGCCCTGGGCCCCCGAGAGACACGGGAGGGGCCGCCCCGGCCCCCCCCCCCCCCCAAAGGGAGGGCCCGCCCAGGCTCTCCTGGGTGCGGCCGCGCGGCGCCTGTCGCACGACGCGGCCGCCAGCGCGGTGGCCTCGGCCGCGCATGGGACACCCCGGAGGCCCCACCAGCGTCGGCTCCTCGATTCCTCGACTCCTCGAGCCTCGAGCCCTCGAATTCCTCGATCCCTCGACTCCTCGATCCCTCGACTCCTCGAGCCCTCGATCCCTCGAGCCTCGATCCCTCGATCCGTCGACCCCTCGAGACTCGCTTCCTCGGGCGGGGACTCTGGGCGCAAGACCGGTGCCCTCGAGCCGGCAGGCGGCGTCCCCAGGGCCACGGCGGAGCCCGTGGGTGGAGGACGCCGAGCGGCCCCGCCCGGCCTTCTTGTGGCGAGAGCTGTGGCAGCGCCGCGGGGCTGGGCAGTCGAGAAGAGCGCTGGGCAAATCTGCTGGCATGGCTCTCGCTCGGCTTGTGCGGAAGGAGGAGGAGGAGGAGGAGGAGGAGGAGGAGGAGGAGGAGGAGGAGGAGGAGGAGGAGGAGGAGGAGGAGGAGGAGGAGGAGGAGGAGGAGGAGGTAGGGAGGAGGAGGACCAGACAGCCTGAGGCAGAACATCCCGATCTGTGGCCGCGATCATGCGGCTGCCTCCTTGGCCCGAATG